TTTAGCAACCCCTTTTAAATAACAGCATTAACAAGCAATTTTTAAGTACCACTTTACCCCTGCCCCCCCCCCCCCACCCCCCACCCTCCCACCCACGTGTTGCCATGCGTTAAGTGTGTGCCACTGCAGGATGTTGAAGCAATGCGTTGTTGCCATATGTTTGTTAGCAATCCAATTGTCTTTTGGTTTGTACCTTTAAAAGATTATGACATAATGGGTCATATTTGTTTATGTATTGGTTTTATATTTGATAATTGAAGTATTAAGTAGATCTCATTAAATTTGTCTTCACTTTTTTCACCTTTTGACATTTTTTTCCTTTTTGCTAATCGCACTGTTCTGTGACATATAATCAATGTGAACCATTTTGAGTCATCAGGCAATCATATGAATACAAATAAATATTAATGTGATGAACACATAATGTTAAATAATGCCAAGTATATATTGCTAGCTTTTATGTTATGTAGCTTCGGGAATTATGAATATTAATTTATGTTTCATATAAAGCACATTAAATTTGATGATCATATCATTTGAGGATTTTCTTTTCTGACTTTTTCAGTTTGAGATGTTGACAGGACAGCTACCATTCCAGGGACAGAATAGAAAAGACACCATGACTCAGATTTTGAAGTAAATTGATAATAAAAACTTTTTTATTTAGTTTTGTCATAAATAATTTTTTTCAAAAGCTTTCTTTTAAAGTATAGAAAAAGAAATACTTTATGGTAATATTGCCAGTGAGAGATGCTTCACAGTATTGTTAATATTGTTGAAAGTATTAGAGTTTACATGGAATGATTCAATCAATAAAATAAATTAAAGTTTTAAAGAAATACTTTCTCACTGTTACAGAGCTAAATTGGGCATGCCACAATTCTTGAGTCCAGAAGCACAAAGTTTACTCAGGGCACTTTTCAAGAGAAACCCAGCCAACAGATTAGGTAGGCTTTTAGCAGGCAATGTAGATTAAAGGGAATCGATAAAAATATGGTCTCGGGGTTTTATCATCAAGACGTAGAAATGGACAAATGTAGTTCAATTGATTAAGTTATCCTGTATTACGTTCTGTAACAGATGGCTTGCAGGTATTCTGCAACGTGTGGCAAGGCCGTTTGCACATTTCATTAAGTTTGTTTATGATAGTGGCAGGAATTATTGGAATGTAATTCTCGAGCACTGCTCATGGAAACCGAGTTCACACATGCCACAGCATGCTTAGCTTTGGGAGGTTCATATTGATTAGATATACCTTAGAGCTGCTAATGCCCTCATTCTGACTATCAATTTTCTTCATTGAAATGCATTTTCTGCAAGAAAATCACTAAATGCAAATTTGTGTCAATAGGTTTTTGTTAATACAAATTTACATTGAAAGATGTCTTTGTAGATTTTTTTATTGCTTTTTTGTAGAGACCCTATATAAAACATCCATTTTCCTTGAGCATGCCTTGTTTAGATAAGTAGTCATTTAAGTACCATCCTTTAAATGCTCTGATACTTGTAAAGATGCCAATGTCATCTCACAGCTCTCTGCTTACAGGCTCTGGGGACGATGGGATTGAAGATATAAAGAAACATCCATTCTTTTCCACAATTTCGTGGGAAAAACTTGTAAAGCGGGAAATAAACCCACCTTTTAAACCTGCTGTGACTAAAGCTGATGATGCCTATTATTTTGATACAGAGTTCACATCTAAAACACCAAAAGGTAAGAAAAAAATAAATCTTTGTTAGGTCATTTCTTGAATTCTGTAAATTTACACTTGTTCATATCTCCATGTTATGTTGACTGCCTAAATTGTTAGAATCTTGGAAATTCAGATTATTATGTTTTTAACTCCTGTTCCAGTACATTTTGGTACACATAGTGCAAGTCTCTACCTATATTGCTCCTATCAGAATCTTTGGTATATCAGTAGCTATACATTATGAGTTCAAGTGTAAACAGTGTAGGAGTGCTAAGAGAAGAGAAGGGCCATATTCTTTAAAAATCAATAAGTTGCTGTGGTCTTCATCTTCAGAGAGGTTAAAAATACATTGACATGATATCAAATACTCAAAAATAAGAATTTGTATCAATATGAGTCTTTAAATCTTTCACACACATTTTGTCTGAAATGATTGTTAAGATTTTCAATTTTTGTAGTTTTTTTGGAATGCCCAGCAGATATTTTTGTCACTTAAAATATTTCTGATCCACAGTGACCTTATAGTCAGCCCAGTGAACTTTGTGCAAACTAAAATAATTGGCAAGAGTGACTGACTGTTGAAAACTAAATTGAAATGGATTTTCTAGGAATGCTTCATTTTGTAAATTAGTTGTGTGGGCAATACCAATTTGGTTTCACATTACTAAGGCAGTTCAAATTACTTAGACCTGTCATTCATTTAGGACTTGTCTCTGGCAATGACAATTTTGCTAAAGTAAATGGAAAGAATAATGTGCTGTCTACAGTCACTTCATACAACTGTCTGTGGGTGTTTCCTGTATGTTTATACAGATTCTTTGTAGTATTGATTAAATTCAGGAAAAAAAAACAGTTTGGTTTTTTCATCAGCCTGTTAATGATTTTCTTCAGTGAATCCTTGCTTTTTAAGAGAGGATAGATTGATTTCCAGTCCCTGTAAATGAAGTTTACTCATCCATGATATCTTAAGGAATAGCATACTTGTCTGTTGTATTTATTGACCAACATTTTATGCAGATACCAAGGCAATATGAAATAAAGGTTATTATTTCAGTATCTAATTTAAAAAGAAAAGGTGAAATGAAAAGGGACCCTCTGCACTCAGATTAACTTATAACCACACCGCCTCTTGTTTCCAATGTACTGGTATAAAACCAGCTTTTCTGTATTCAACTCAAAGCCAGGAGGAGGCGTGCTAATCTGATTGAATTCAGCAAGAGACCCTGTAGAGTTGGATCAATATAAATAGATCAATAGTTTCATTGGGAACGAGCCCTAATACATTATAGTATCTTCTACCATATTGTAGTTACAGCTGTACTCCACAAAAAAATCTCCAACATGGATTTAGCCAGGGTTTTGGAAGCGGGAATCCAAATTTGTTTTCTTAGTGGGACAGGTCTTCTAGGTTTCTTAATGCTCCAATATTATTAATAAAAATCTGAAAAATGACCACCCAGATTGAAAAAAAAAGCAGACCAAAAGAAAAGAAAGATAGATTGTTGCTTAACAAATATCCAGATCTCCAACCACTCCCATCTCTGTGTACATGTTGTGTTTCTTGCCTTCAGATTCTCCAGGTGTGCCTCCCAGTGCCACTGCCCATGAGTTGTTTAGGGGATTCAGTTACATAGCTCCCAGACTTATTGAGGAGACTGTGATGGAGGAGCAGAACCCTAAACCAGAGCCAGCAAAGACCACCAGGAAGACCATTGTAAGTTGGGGAAAAATAGTGTCTAGAAATGCTGAACCATGGGACAGTGTGTAACCACTATATAAGTATATAATGTATAATCAAAAATGAAGATTGTTGTCATATTGCTATCACAGAGTATGATCCTAAAGAGAAAATTCATATGTTTGAGAATATATTTTTTCACATGATATAAAGTTGGTGCAATCTCTTTAAACTGAAAAAATTTCTTATGTTATCAGTATGGAAGTGGAGGAGATGGAGAAGCTCATTTATGGACAGGGTTGTAGTTGAATCAGCATCCTCTGTTTTTGTCCCTTTAGCATTTTTGATCTCCTATTACCCTTCCTTAGATCCTGTTTTGGTTATTCTTTTGAAGTTGTGGCTTTGGAAAACATTTTTGTCGTGAATCTGATTTTATCACTGACTTTGCACATTTGAATATTTTTGCTTCCCATTGAGGTAACTGATTGATTCTTTTACAGTTGAGGGGAGTAAATACAAAGTCATTCAGTGAAGAATATGAATTAAAAGAGGTAAGTCAGTTTGTACCATTTTTCTTTCTGTAATGTTATTGCAATTTTTTTTGTCAGATTTTTCCTTTGCATAATTGCTGAAATCATATAAGTGAAGTCACATTGATTTTATTATCACCTGTCACCTGTTGTTTTAGGAAATTGGTGTAGGTTCCTATTCATTATGCAAGCGATGTGTGCACAAGTTATCAGGACAGTCTTATGCAGTCAAGGTAAGCAGCTACTGTACTTGATAGATAAATGCAGAGTGAACCATTAATATTAAAACCAGATTGTCTTCAAATCTGAGATAAGCTTATGACCAGGATGTGGTATTAATAGAAAAGACGAAAGTGTATATTAAAGCCAAAAATTCAAAACTTCCTCAATATTTTGTCACAATTTGCTGGAAAGAGTAATTTTGATGTATGCATTTGTAAAATTTAGAGCCGTAAACTGACAGTATAAATTATTTTGTTTCAGATTATTGACAAAGAAAAGAGGGATCCATCAGAAGAAGTGGAGATTTTGCTGAGATATGGCAGTCATCCTAACATTGTCACTCTGAGAGATGTAAGGTTTGAATTTTCATTGAACCCATCCAAATCCATCTTACTGGATTGTACTATAAAGTATATGCTTGCAACCATAACAAAGTTGATTGAGAAGTTCTCAATCTCTATTCTTCTTAAGATTTTAACCAATTTGTTCCATATTTCACCCATGGTATTACAGTCCAAATATATCCAAATGCTAAATGCTGCCTGATATTTCACTAAGAAACATTTCATTTGATGATGATAATCCAGGTGTATGACAATGGGAACAAAGTGTACCTGGTAACAGAGCTAATGAAGGGCGGGGAGCTGCTAGACAAGATCTACAGGCAGAAGTTTTTCTCCGAGCGTGAAGCCAGTGCTGTGCTGCAGGTGGTGGCTAGAACTGTGGACCACCTCCATAAGAGTGGGGTGAGTTTTCTTTAGGGGCCACACAAGTGCCGGAAAGGGTTTGGGGTTTAGTTTATTTCATTAATGCAATCTAGCTTCACGCAAGAATCCTTTTCCATGTAGCAAGAGTCGAGTATGACCAAATCACATTGTGGAGTTATCTTGAATCTTTTTTGCTTTCTTTTGTCAAAGAAAATTGTCTTTAGAATTTGGCATTTCCATTTTCATTTGCTATGGCAAGCCTTTCCAGCATAAGAAAAACAAAAATCTTGCTGCTTAATAGATGCCTACAGAGGATAAGCAGCATAATAGATGTATATATGATTTAAGTCGTAATCTGTTTAACATCAATTGCAGGCGAAATTGAAAAGTTTTGTAGTTCTTTACAGTTTTGTCCCAACTCCCGAGGTATTTTAAATATTCTTGGTGGGAATGTAAATGTTTTTTTGGTTTTGTGGGAAGTTTGAGTTGATTGCGTTAGTTGTGACATGGGAATATTCTTCCAGGTTGTCCACCGTGACCTCAAGCCCTCAAACATCCTCTATGCAGACGACAGCGGAGACCCAGAACAAATACGCATCTGTGATTTTGGCTTTGCTAAGCAGCTGCGAGCAGACAACGGTTTGTTGATGACCCCATGCTACACGGCCAACTTTGTTGCTCCTGAAGTGTTGAAAAAGCAAGGATATGATGAAGCCTGTGATATATGGAGTATGGGCGTGCTGTTGTACACAATGCTTGCTGGGTAAGGAAAGAAGTGGTGACACTTGGAATGCTTTTACAAAAGGACTTATTAATTTCCAATTTCGTTTAAGATTTTAATTTTCTCTGCATTATTCATCATGGTGAAATTGATATAAAAGATGATCTTTTATTTATTTTACTTTTTTTTTTTTTTTTTTTTTCAGGTATACTCCATTTGCCACCGGGCCAAATGATACGCCAAATGATATTTTGGCAAGAATTGGAGAAGGCAAAATATCCCTGACTGGGGGCAACTGGGATTCGGTGTCTGTTGCTGCAAAAGTATGTACTCCAACAATTTAGATGGAATTGTAGAATGTAATATATTAGTTCAAATTCTAGCTTGGGTATGTAGTGATGTCCGCTATCGTTTATAGTACCTTTGATTGGTATTCTGTAACATAAACATGTGGCCATTGATCAATTTTATATGATTTTCAATTGTTTCTTTTTTTTAAGGATTTGGTAAAACACATGCTTCACCTGAATCCACGCCAGCGCTTTACAGCAGAGCAAGTGCTGAATCATCCTTGGGTAGCTAAACGGGAAAATCTTCCACAGCTGAAGCTAACACATCAAGATGTCCAGTTGGTGAAGGTGAGATCCATTGAATGATAATATTGTACCACTTTAATGAGATATAAAAGTACTTTAATATGGTGATAAAACTTCAGATTGGTAGTCTGTTATTAAGTGGCTAACTGGAGTATGAGATGAAAATCTTGAGCGCTGGAATTTATCAATTCAGAATGGAATATGTGGTATAGTTGCATGTCAACGATATTTATTGATTTACTGAATTTTTAACTGATCACATTGCTACAAAATGGACATTTGCATACAAAATTCTGTGATGTCTTCTATACTTTCAATGCAACATCTGTTTCCTCTTCAGGGAGCCATGAAGACCATGTACCGTGCTTTGAACAACAGCCCCAAGCTAATGTTGGAGCCAGTTGGGGCCTCTTCTCTTGCCCAGCGCCGGGGGAAGAATAAACCACGTTTAAACTCTACTGAAGTATAAATACTCCACAGGCAAGTATGTGGACTTGCAATACACACTTCTTAGACCATCAGTTGTAGAACAAAGTCTGAGTTGACATGTGAGGCACTGTAGGAGACTGGAGAATGAAGGACTGCTGGCCTTGTATTAGGATATATGCTTTATAGATTCTGTTATCAAACACTATGATAACTTGTGCTGTGATTTAGAGGGAGATCATTATAGACTGTCAGTAAGGCTTGTAGACATCCTTTAAAAGACATTTGCAAGCTGATCAACTTGTGCTTTCCAATATCCAATCTGTGAAGGGCAATGATACTTGCTACAGCCAGTTGGAGATGTTGGTCTGTGATTGGATAGACTGTTCAACAGATTAATGAAACTGACCAGTAGAATCAAGTGTGTAATTTTGGGATCAACAGATCTGTTGTTCCAGAAGGACACGACTCACCTGTTTTCTTTGCACAGCGAAATAAAGACATAAAAATGAATCTAGATTTCACAAAGACTGATTATCTTTTATTTTTCTCCCTGCACTAGTTTCTTTACAAAAAATATCTATATTGTAGTATTTAGTCATTAAATTGTCAAAATTATTAATTGATATGAATTGATGATTGTGGGGTTCACACATCATGTAGTGCTTTAATTTTGAATAAATTTGAATTGCTATGAAGTATTAACTAACCATATAATCATTGATATTAAGGGAATGAATTTTTTTAAAATCAATTATTGAAAAAATCCTATATTAGTCTAGTATGGTCACAGTGACATTTTTTAACACGAGAATTGTATCAACTAATGGAAATGCTGCATAATTCAGTGGAGCCTTAATTATAACAGTATCGAAGTGCTCTTTTTGGTTTATGTTGTAAGGGATTAGATGCATGTTTTGAAGAAGAGAACTACAAAGTACATTTACTTGACCTCATAATAACAATGTTGTTATTACATATAAAGGTAATAATAGTACATTTCCTGTACTTGCCCCTTATTGTACTCTATTAGGCTGCAATTGAGATATACCTATAAAGACATTGTACAAATGATGTACATAATATTGAAATTATAGCCAGTTGATACTTCAGTCAGGAGATACATATATCTATTTGCATTTTGAATAATAAACATTACAGCACTGTCATAATGACAAAATGTTGTGCCTTTGTACTGCTATGTGAGGTTGGGCCGAGCTCAAGAGGGAGTCTTCGTAGACTGGTAACTTAGGATGCTTCTTACTTATTCAATTTAGCAGTAACAGAAGATAAAACCTTTGTGTGTAACACTGAGTTAGTCTCTTTTTGCAGAAGTATATGTTTGTAAAATGTTATAAAATTGATTTGTTGTCTTGTTATATAGCTGTATATTGAGTACAATTTTTCTCGAAAGTTGTAAGATCTTATTATTATCATCATTATTATTAATTTTTTGACAACCTATTTTTTTGTACTGGAGCTTCCACTTTGTTTTTCATATCTAAGAAGCCAGTATAAAGATAGAAGCTGGAAATGTTGCCAACTAGTTTTACTTTTTTGAAATTTGGAAAATTTGCCAAAACATTACATGTTATATATGTGTATGTTAACAACCTTTCTTCTTTATTGACCAAGCTTTTTTGTCTTACCATAACTGCCAGTTATAGTGTGTGCATTAAATAAAAAAAAAAGGAAGAAAATAAAAACAGCTGCAATTTAGAAGTAAAAATATTGTTATTACAGTGTTCATTTAACTTCATTTTCAACTTGCACATTTCACTGCCAAAACGTTTTTTCCAGAGATTTGAGAGAGTAAATGCCCAAGACAGTTGAAAGTCTGAATCTTTATCATACGGTATCTTTTACAAAATGCATCAGCACCATACTATTTGAGTTTAAGATTTTGAAACATGTTGGTTGATATTGAGCTAAGATGAAGTTGTGAACAATTGGACAGAAGCGTATTACAAGGAACACAGGATCTATAGATATTACATTTTGAGTTTTTTTCATCATGTCACCCTGTTAAGTATGATGGAGATCTCCTATAAGTCGTTATACCATAGATCTGGCATCAGTGCTGTTTAAGCAATAATTCCTCTACATTAACCTCTTAAAGATTAATAGACTATTGTTTGTATATACCTATATCACCACTTCATTTCACACCCTTTGTATCTTAGCATGGTGTAATGAAATATAGAATATAGCATTCAAAGTATGTAGATATGTAGTTCATTATATATATATTCTGTATCTATTGCTCTATGGCAGAGGTGCTTGGGGAAGCAATAGCCTGGTGTATGCTTTTTGTCCTTTCTAGAATGTACACATATTTACTACTCCTACTTCTACTATTAAACACATTTATGTCTACAGAAAGATTCAGAATAAACTATATTTTCATTTCAGAATTTTGTTTTTGTGTATTGAAATTATGAAAGGGATATCAACTGTTGTATGAGATTCATATTTCACAATAGTATATATTCAATTCCATTTTACCACCAAATCTATAGTTATTGCAGTCATTCTGGAATCTGTGCTTCCCATCTGACCACATGGATCTTTTGAAGAGATTATAACAAAAAAAAAAAAGTTTTTTAGAAAAAAAACATGGACTGACTTTGAATGTAGGAATGGATTCATTAACTATTGTTAAGTTTGGAAAAATCATCCTTTATCCCTGGAAAATTCTTTTTTGACCAAAGTTGTTATAGTCCCTTTAAACAATCAACTGGCTGTAATCTTTAGTTTGGATAGATTCCTTAATATGAAGTGGACGTCACTTTAACATTACTTCAACTGCTCTGCTTGAAGTGTCTGATAGTTATTTATTACAAAATAATTTTTTTTTTGGGATTTATTTCTCTTATTTACAAAGGGCTAATGCATTTTCACCACAGCAATTTGCTATTACACCTTCCCACACTGTTAAAGAGGAGCAATACTGAAGCAATAATTTATGTATAATGAACCAAAATATAAATGCATGAATCCAAAGTTTTGAGTGAAAATGTTCTAACTAACATGAAATGTTCTCAAATTTATGTGTTAATTTTGTGTATTGATTAGTTTTTGCTCAAATCAACTGGTTTAGTTGTATTTGGCCTCTCCCACTGAGCATACACCCAGTTTGAGTATTTTCATCCACTAGGGAAGTGGACAAACTTGGATTACTGACCACTGTGAACTCAGACCATTGACCCCCTCTGTGCTATTGATGCCATTGCTCTGGGATTATTGATTTCAAATTGACTGTAAATCCCACAAATTAAATCTTAGTTGTTAAGGAATACATGTTGTTTTTGCTGACCGTACATTGTTGATAATTATTTCAGAATATATCATTTTTTCTTCATATATGCTTATTTTGGTTCAGTATAATTGGATTAAAGACATCCCCTTTTTAAAGCAGTCAAATTGGACTGTTAAACAACCATTCTTGTATTTTCCTAATCTCTGGCTGTTTAACAGTTAGCGACTGTGACTGATTAAGGAACTGATGACACTGCATTTACCTGATGAGGAAGGAGACCAGACGCATACTCTTTTTTTCTGGCAGAAAACCTCATCCTTTGATTGTAAAATTTCCATGAATGAAGGAAATAGATTCAAGTTCTTCCTACTATTTTGGGATACGATACCTAACAAGACAATTGAACCCTAATGAAATCTGAAATCTGTAAATAAACTTAATATAACACCAATGTAACACAAAGGTGCTTGATTATAATCACACCTTCCCTGGATCTCTAATCAAAATAATTAACTACTTTGTATATCCATTAAGTTATGCATATCAGCAGGTAGTTGATCTGCAGCCTGGAAGAGTTACCAGTTACAAGGTTGGAGGATTGAACAATACAAAAACTGAGTGGATGGGCTCATTTCTATTGAACTATCAGTATACAAAGATCGATCCAATTTGCATGGACTCTTGTTGAATGCAATTAGTTTAGCGCATTTGATTAACATACCTCCTCTTGTTTCCAGCGTACTCGTATAATCACCAGGTTTTCTGTATTCTGCTCAACACATGAAGGAGGCATGTTAATCTATTACACTGATTGCATACAGCAAGAGTTCCTGTTGAGTTGGATCGATCTACGTAGAGTGATAGTTTCAATGGGAATGAGCCCTATAATAAACAAATAAAGACTGGTCTTACTGTGCGCTTGGCTTTTCTCTGTGCGACACTGAGAAGTTTGAGAGTTGGAATCATGATCTTCAGACTGCATTTAGGTAAGTTAAAAAATGTTTATATTTATTAAATATACATAAATAAACGTATATTGTCTCATTTTGAGCCCCAGCATTAAGTGGACACATTTTACATAAGGCGTTCACTGCAGGTCTGCATTGGCAGTGGCGGATTTAGGGGGAGGGGGTCAGGGGGGTCCTGACCGCCCCCCCTCCCCTTTGATTTCTGAAATAAAAAATCACACCAATTGTCCCCTCTTGAAATTAGAATTTTGACCAGCTGAATCATAGTTCTAAAGCGTACCAAATGGCAACGGTTGCCTTTTAAAATACCAAAAAATTTCGGAGCCCTTCAGCAGGCCCTGCACCCCACGCCAAGGGGGGCTGCTTTGCATGCGAGCTATTCATTGCTAAAAACTAGACCTCCCTTCAAATAATCCTGAATGGCCCCTGATTAACATAACAATCCTTTGCACTGTGACTTGGAGTGACTTCATTGCAATTCAGAAGGACAGGCATTAATTTTATAAGTATTTTATAAGATATCTTTAATCTTTCTTTCAACCTGAACCCCAGGATACTGCAACAGTTTTTAGATTATTGCCATTTCAAATCCATATTTATTTAAAAATTAAGCCATGATGAATGGATATTACATGAGAGAACATCTTTATGCAGTTATTTTTAGTAGATTTGGAGTTAAAAGATGGGCAGATATAATCTGGTTGTTTATTTGGAAAGCAAGTCTGTGACCTGGTTGTGGATGAAGTGAGATTACATTAGACGTTGACTCCATTTTCTGCGTGGATCCTAAGTTTGTACACTACTTGTCAGGGGAACATCACCCACAGGGTACATTTCAAAACAGCCACAAATGTTTCCAAAATTATTTTTCACATGGAACCTGCCCAATAGGCAATATCTGCATATATGATGACTTCTTTTGTTGCTTTGCTTGGAGGCAAATATCTTTATATCTTGTGTAGTTAATTTAGACATATTTCCTGCTTGGCACAAAGACCTTTATAGATAGGAACTACCTCTTGGAAAGCATGTTGCTTGGGGATTTAGCTTTGATTTGGTAATGATAAAATGAATGTTAGGCTGGCACGCAAAATTGCTGTTGGTGGAATTTTGAGAAGATCCCCGCCCAGTCCCCCACGATGAAAATCCCTTTGTGTATTCGCAGTTTGTCATATTCTTGTCATTGTGGCTGGAAAGGGTGTCTTGAGAACGGCACTGTGCTGTCCATCATGGAGGAAATGCTTCAAAGTAAGCCTTGGTCTAACATTATGCTAATTGTAAATAATACTTTTGTTATTTTAACATCAGGATCATACAGCTATATATGGTTTGGACAATTTATTTTTCAAAGCGCTCAGTTTTTCACTTCTGGAACATAAATATTTCACAATCTGAAGTTGGTTGGACTGCTTTGCAAAACGTTAAATGTTAGACGCCCCTTTTTTGGAACATTTATTTAGGCCCCAAAGCTCAAAACGGAATAATGAAATTTAAAAAAATACCAATAATAGGTATTCTGAAAATAATATTTCAGCAGAAACACTGATCAGAAGTGAAAGCACAATATAAGGCATGTGTTATAACACGTGACATTTGACAACAGTTGCTTCATGCACATGAAATGTGCCTTTCTTTTTACTGTAGGCACTAATGGGATGTAGGAAGGTAGGAAGGTAGGGGATCAGCATTTACTGGAAATCCATGTTGTTGCATTCTTTTTGGGACATTTGCATTTCATGGAAATTGTATGATCATGATTTAAAGAAAAACAATATTTGCTAGAAAATTCCTCTACACTTTGATGTGGATGTAATTGTTCTGTTATTCACAATATGTCAATGATAAGATCTAAGTTTACCTTAAGGCATATCTAGTTTATTTTATTTATATTCATCAATACATCTAGTTATTTACATTTGCCTAATATTAATTATTTGGTGAAAAATAAGTTATTTTATTAATATGAATGCTATCATGAACAGTGAGAGTTGTATGTCATAAGCTACCTTTTCACCTTTATCGAAATGAAAAAGCTAATATGTCAGTAAGAGGTTTAATGGATAACCACAGAGTGGAATGCAAGGAAATAATTGATTTGGAATCACGCATGTTTTTTTAAGTCATGGTGCACAATTCATTTTAAGTGTTGCAAGTGATGTTCTTACAATTTTCAAAAAACAAATGTCCGCTTTCAAAATTGGAAAGTCACCTTTTTGATTTGTTAGCCACATCAATTGTACATGAAACTCAGCTGTATGTCCTCAATTATACATTTATAAGCTTACTTTATTTTGCTAATTTCTGTTCGCTCACATGTCATTGTGATTTGGAGAGTCATAGATTAGAATCCAGGCTATGTCTTTACGTGCGAACTCCCGTAATCACTCCAATTAGGGCTTCAGTTCATACAAACTCTCTGAGTTCAAGGCTGAACAGCTGAAGCAAGGTCTGATTGCCCTACAGCTTTACAAGTGTGGATAGGCAGAAAAGATATAAACTAAGTAAATTTCTTATAATATGTCACTCATTGTTAGAAAAACATTTACACAAGGTGCAATAATTTCAGCCTTGTTGTGTGACGTGAAGGTAATCTGTCTTTTGTGACCCCTACCAGGCAACTAACTCAAAGGCTTCAGGAGACTTTGTCCACCTGCATTACTATTGCCCCAAATTCCAGCAATCAACTCTTTAGTGTACTCCACTCTGGGAGGTGAGTGTGGTTCCCCGTCAGTCATACCAGACTGCCAGTACATTAGCACAGGTAAATGCTTCATAGGACCTGGGATTGTACTCAAAAGTTGTTGTATCAAGAGAAAATTGTTTGCTTTATAGAGCACTGGTTTCAAATGAATTATGAATGATAACAAATGACAACAGGGGAGAGCCTGCAAGAAAACATTGTCAGTTTGCAATCCTCTGAGACGAGAGTATTCAAAATTGTGATGATAGCGTTGGTGGGATCCTTGTGAGACTAATTGAGCCACTGGGGGCAAAAAATTTGTAGTGTGAAAACAAATTCTCTGTGGTGTTGTATTAATTATGAGATTGAGAGAATTACTTAGACATTAATGATTATGACTTTGACACTGGTCAGAATGTTTTTAGAGTGAGGAGTTGGAATGCTTTTGATTGCTACATTAGATACATTACCAGATCACATAACTGTTATTGTTGTATTGAAAAACACTTCTGAAAACACAGTTACGTTAAACCTGACCTCTGACGTGGACTTCATGACGACAGTGTTCTTCTTGTAAGCCGTCAGCAGCAAGATAGTGGCTTGCATCTCAGCAGTTCCAGCAAAGCGAACTAAGTGTTTGAAGGAGAAGCTGATCGTTCTCTCTGACAGATTGCCAGTTACTTATACAACCTCTGTGCTTGCAGCAAAGCACATTGCCATCGCGCCTCAGGGAAAGGAAGCTGCACAAATATATGCTGTACCTTACAAGCTGGTTCTTAGAAACAGGTAAACTGTTTTGCCAATATATGTAAATATATATAATATTTTGTATCCAAGGTTGCCTGTAGCTTCTTTTTTGATGTCCAACCAGGCACTCCAGACACTGACTTTTTATGATGCAAGTCTGAGAAGACTGCTGGATTTCTGTCAAAACAAGTTGTATATGACATAAATCTCTGGAGTTTGATAAACTTGCTTAAAAGATTATTTTATCATTATGAGAAAGGGGGTTTACACCTAAGGAATAGCTGATTTTAATTTTTCTCTTTGATGCATGGTTAATTTCTAGTGCTGCTCCATGAACAATTTTGTAATTGTCTAGGTTACTACCAGTATTTTGTCTTTATATTTTTTTATCATTTTTTTAAAGTGAATTTTTCATGATTTCCACAATTATGTGAGATTGCTTATGGCCATGTAATTATTTGAAATCACAAACGAAAAAAAAAATTGAACAGAGGCTTTTGCACACATATATAAGGTACTGAAACTTGGCAAGTTTTTTAATGACATTTGTATCTTCACCTTAAGACCTTTTATTCCGTCTTGATCTTTTTACTCTCAAGTCACTTGTTATCATCAATCACAGCATTGCAGATGAACTTTTAAATGATGTGCATGAATGCTAGCTATAACAGGGTTTCTTACTTTCAGGAAACTTTTGAAATTGATAAAGGACACAAAATCAGTTCTCTGTTCAGTCGTATGAATGCATGTGGAGAAAAAATCGCTAGAGGAATTCATTTGCTTTAAATTGAGTAATAATCAATACAAGTTGTAGAAGAAGAGCACTACTGAAAGTATCTTCATTATCTGTTGCTACTCTGTAAGGCTCATCACTTTCTGATAAATCAGAATTGAATATGTACTGCCCATGGTAGGTTTTAATGAACAGATAAATGATTGGTAAGCTGTAGCGATATATTTCCTGCACCGATATATTTCCTGCACCATGACAGCAATGTACATGAGATCTCATGTACCAGGCATTTGAGCAGGAAGTATCATTAGGCACATTCTGTGCAGACAGTAGCCAGACTTTAAAAGAAATCCAAGAAAAGGGGAAATTGTTTAAGTTCAAAACAATATATAACAAGGAAATGGCCAGGTGAGAACTTTAATTTCTGGGTCTTATTGGTTTTATCACTTAGGCCAGCCTTTCAAACCTACTAGTCAGTGCATCAAGTGTCAAAGTGCAACTTTGATTAATAGTTTGAAGCTTTGAAGGATCCAGAGAAAATGCCTGGAGTGGAGAAATAAAAACATCCCCACCCAATAAAAAAAGAAAAACATCTTGTAATATATAAAAAAAGCCATTGGTTTGAGTACACCATAAAAAAATATCAAATTATGTTTACTCAGCTAAAGATATTACAATGCAATTTGTTACATGAAAAAGTTTAGTGGACTATTTTTTGCAAAAATTTTTAAAAACAAGTTAGTAGGGATGATATTATCCAGAGGGAATGATAATCTAAATCTAATCTTTCTTTTTCTAACTTGACAGCAGGACATGTGTTTTGCATGCCTCCTTGAGGCTGATCCCCAGGAAAAGATGGATGGAATTATGTTTGCAGTGATACTTTGATCTATCTGGACTCTATCTCACCTTTTGGTGTTCAGGGCGTCTTGAAGTGAGACTTACAAGAACAGAGTGTAAAATATTGTCACTGCTTGATGTATCTAATTCATTTACTGAAAAGGTGTTATTTTCTAAAATGACTACTCTTTAAATCAATAGTTTAACAGAAATAGAAGTTATAACAGGAAAAAGACTTTTCTTGTGCAATTTGTTTGAGGTTGTTTTTGAGTTGGAATTGCGTGTAGAAATTTTACTTAATCATATTTAAGAAACAGATAATTTGAAAGTGGGAAGAATTTTTTGAGGCAATTTGTTACAGTCACAGAAGATTATGAAAGTTTTGTCTACAATTTGGGTCTTTTCCAACAAAGATAAATATAGTATGTTGGAAGTAATAAGAAATTACAGAAAGTTTTGATTTGTTATGTAGTCTTCTTTTTACTAAATTTCAAAGTTAAGCTGTCTTAATGGCCACAGGAAAGTGACAACAATGATAGTGCAGCAATGTCTTCCAAATGTTTTGCTTAAAGATAGAAAGTTAGGTAAATATAAAAATATTTTAGCAATTGACATGGCCAATTTCCTTCATTGTGATGAAAAGGCCTTCATTTAGATAATATGTTAGTACTCTCTGAATCCATGAAGTTGATGTGTGTGCAAGTTCTGGACATCTAGGGTAAACAATGCACTATTTACAGTGACCTGGACATGTTTTTGTTTGCATTCCACAACCAGAAAAGTACAACACTTATGAAAATTTGAACTGTTTCTGTAAGGTGCATGCAGTACTTAAGGGCTGATTATTATACATTTTGGTTTGGCAGGTGTGCCAGGTTTAAGTACATGACAGTGATGTAACCTTGGCTTTCTCTGGGAGGTTGTGGTCCAAGTGCTTGGTAGCCAGTAGTTAAATGCTAAATATGGGGATGAGGATATGAAGTACTTTAATTAAAGCATAGCCAAAGGAGCTTCAGGGTTGAGTTGCACGAATCAGCACTCTGTTTACTACAAAGGTGAGTGAAAACTGGAAATGAAATTTTACAACACGGAACAAAAAAAAACTTGTTGCTCACATGAAAGGCAATGGCAAGCATTTAACCTGGCCAGGAAGTGCAAGCATAAATCCACCCAAAAAACAATTTGTCCTTGTGTGAGTTTTATTATGCCCTGGGGATATTGCAAGAAAGAAATCGACATAGTTTCCTTATGTATGTGGATTAAACATGGGCATGGTCTCAGTTAATTCCTTTGACCAGTCACACAGTCCGATTTAGACAGACATTTGCCTTCAGCACTAGTCTGCTGACACAGAGGTTATACCCACTCATTCTCCTACACTTCTAAAAAAAGTAGAGAGAAAGCGAGTAGCATTTTTGAACTTTTAGGAATGCACGAGGGGGGATTTCGTTGAGTTCCTGTTGTATTCTATATTTTTGTTTGGTTATGCCTATGATGACTGTGCCATTGAAGCTTTTCACTTCAAAGGGGAATTTTTGCATTTGAACCAGCCCTGGCTCCAGGTTGACAGCAGTTTGATGAGGGGATCCACATTTGTCAAGCATTAAGTGCATCATTAATCAGACCAGTAGAAAATAATGGCCTCTTAATGGCTCAAAGCACAATATAAAAATAAAAATTCTGTTAGGAAATATTTAAAATCTAATGAATTTTCATTTGCGATGTTTTTAATGAAGCATGCATTGTAATGGTTGCTAGCATGGAGGAAAGTGTTATGGATAAGGCATGTATGATAATGGATTTGGGGAAAGCAAAATAATTCTATGAACTAACAAAATATGTTTTCTGGCTGGTATAAAAACATACATCTATCGTGCACACCTTCATAATTTTAGAACAGGTGTTAAAATAATTGTCATGAAAGAAGCCATTAGTAACTTCACTATTAACACCTTGTGGACTTATTACAGATGTGTGAGAGATGCTAATCCTGATGTTGACTTGAACATAGTACAATTCAGTTCATTGTTAGTGTAGCCGTCAGTGCAGTGCACGTTGTTTCTCCCTTTGCTGCAGTAGCCTCCCAGGACACTGTAAAAGGTAATGACTTCTTCCAACTATCTTTGATATCATTTTCTTGTTATAATGACTGTATAATGATGGTATAAAGAGATATGACAACATCATCAGTTGTGGTATGTTTATATATGTACTATTCATAATTTAGAAGGTTTGATCGCAAGTAAGTGTCACCCTGGGTTTGACATTTTAAACGAGAAAGACCAAACAATTATTATTTTGATCAATAGTATTTTATTTAAATAGAAAAGGCATGATAATAAGTACCATGTTCAAAAATATAAAAAGAATGTAAACTTTCTTACCATTAACCTTTGCAGCAGCATTTTACTGAAACTACTTTATTGGAAAACTAATACATATGTTAATAATAAGGATGGGACTAAGAAGGAACAAGGAAATTGTTCCTCTGCAAGCCCCACTCCTAGTCTCATGAACAATTTTAATAAAAAAACATTAGTCAGGTGTTAATTGGTGGTGCACAGGTGGAATGCTTTAGATTAATCAGCAGCAAATTGACTAAATAACTATATTTATGCATATGGAAATATACATGTATATATACGCCTCCCCTTAACTTGAATAGTAGAGCAGATGACCATCTTAACAACATGAAGGGTTAATTGCTGTTAGTATTCTACAAGGAGCGGGAAGTAAGAATATGAAACCCCTAGACTTGGCCCAAAATGTCCATGAACAGGTAATTGTTCCTTTCACATTTTGTAACTTTATTTATTTTTTAATTGTTAATTATTGTGTTGAAAATTGGTGGAATGTAATAAGGTGTGATAAAAAGCATAGGTACACAGGGAGTATTCATATAAACCTCTGTTTCCTCCGTTTAATTCTGAAAGAAAGTAAATATTCATTAGTAAAAATCTAAAAGTTGTTCTTGATTTGAAGTCATCTGAATGGTTGTTGAAAAAACATGAAATCTTGGCTGCCTTTCCGTCTGAACAAACTTGACTTCGATTGTATGCAAAATATGCTCACTTTGTAAGTAAGGCAGCGCAATAGATTTTCTTTGAATTGTTTCCAAAGTCAGTTGCTCTCTTGTAAGGATCAAAGGCAAGTAGTCAGCAGTTCTCCCTCATCTTCTACCTCTTCAACGTGCAACATGTTGTTTGAAAACTGCACCTTTGGCACTTAAATATTTGTGGTGATCGTTTGCTTGCAGTCTTAGTGATCGACTGAATGATGCTGGAAGCTACTTAATTGTGCCCAGCCATATCTGTCAAATTAACTGGAGAATGGATTAGCAATATGAATTCATCATATGTGCAAACAGTAGCCAATAGACAAAGCAAAGCCCAAGCAGGCCACCCTTTGGTTGGACAGTGACACGTTTCTGGCGTTTCATTAATAAATGGGATCAATCAGTATTTTTTTCTTTTTTTTTGCATGTTAACAGCCAAAAATATCACCCATCATTTATAAATATTTTGACTTTTATGAATGAATACATGGTCCACATTTCTGTGAAACATTTGTACAAGAGGGAAGTAACATTTTGAAATAAGCAAGCATTGCAACAAACATTCAGCATTTGGGTACAAGTCAACATAAAAAAAGATTAATAACAATGCAGATGACTGCACAAAACATGCCAAATTTCGGTAGGAGGTCTTTCTATTCTTCACAAATATAATTAAGGTAGAAAGCTTTCTATAGGTCATTAATTTACCTGTAAACATGGGTGCAATGCTGCCAGTGGCTTGCAGGAGGTCTTTTACACTTAGCGAAATAAAGAGACGTCAATGAAAAAACTCCCGTAAAGGTGGCAGTGGTCCTCAATGGCCCCCCTGCATGAAGACCTCTAGGCAGCTTAAACTCTCCCTCTACTGTGGCATGTTTGACTCGCTAATATAAAATCACACTAAATAACAGAATAGAGCAGCAAAAGTTGAAACTGTTGAAGCAGCACTTTGTTTGCAAACAAACATATAAGAGAGGTAAGAATTTGAAGTGTTTGTGGTATTTGGTTGCCACACTGTTTAAAAGGTGATAACATTTGGCTCAACCAGATATGGCACAAAAGCTAGAAAGTCTATAAGAATTTTTATTGGTTTTCAAGAGCTCCCTCTTGGGTGGTGTGTTGTTAAGTACCTTGCCTCAGTCAATGGAGGAAAAACAAGACACCTTCTGTATATATATATACATACATGTACTAGTAGGAAGCATGTGTCAGTTGAACCATAATATATCTTATGCGGTCTGAGTAGAGATCAACCCTTCTGATTATTTGTATCACAGAGGGTTCAACAACAGCGAAACGCCTTTTAATTTTTGATAAAAAAACTAGCTGGACCGTGATAATGCTTTAGGTGCTCTGCTTGCATCAATGAGATGGTTCTTGGTGCTTATCTAGGGTCTTAGCTTACTGGTAGTCATTTATCTAAAAACAAAAAGGGCTGACGGACAGGTACAAGGAACCGCATGTTTAATGTGAGGAGAGTACTTGAGCAAGGGATTACAAAAGACAACATTTCGGCACCAACTTGTTCAGAATCTGATAACCTGACTTACTCTGTACAAGGTAAGAAAAATGCCTGGTAAAAGTTGAAATCTATTCCAGTCATAGATATATTATATATCGTTTCCTGGTTAAGTTTTGCTAGCAATTCATCAGGTCTGTTGTCCTACAGAGACAGTTTAAAAAATGCAATTGACATGGGGTACTTTTTGTCTTATCTGTTTATTAAGACTGAGCTTTTTTCATTCTAATGTTTTACACTAATTCAGGGTCATAGGTTTTGCAGAATTACTGTAAATGAATTGCACAGGCTTATTTATTATACACAGATTTCAGTTACACCCTAGTTAAATAAACTGATAAAAGGTGGGAATGATAACTACATGATGTGGTAAACCCTAATTGCATGTAAAAAAACCTTGATGGCAGTTTGGCTCACATTTACTGAAGGAAATGTCCAGTAACAATTTCCTCTCATTAGTTACTATTGCGGTGGTTGTCATTGCACTGTTGCTAATTTACTAAGCATTTGTAAAAAGCTAATGCAATTAATGGGGGTGTTTTTTTAATTAAGAACACAATTGTTTAACATGTAATGTAAAAATATTTATTGTTTCTATCAAAATAAACAGGTAGTATTTACTGCACCCCTGTGGCACAATATTATGTATGGTAATTAACTCAAGCAGTAATGTATATTTTAGTAAATGTCATGGTACTAGATAAATGACATCAAGCTTTCATGGAATTAGAAAAAAAATCGTGTACAGAATTTATCTAAAATGGTTTTACATGTCATTTGTATCTCAGATAAAAAAAAAAGATATTAAGTATGGTTATCAAGTCAAACAACTGCTTTCAATAAAAGGAAGTGCCAGTTTCCTGAGTATATATTACATCAGTACATTGCACACATCATGTAAATATCAGTAGATAAATATCATACATATTCCATTGAATTCAACGGAGAACATAATTCATCTAAAATGTTTTTACCTAATGTTATCTGTCTGCTTTGATTTCCTTGCGTATGGATGCACACACAGTTTCTTTGAAGTCTATCATCAAGCAAGTGTGTGTTGTCATTGTTTGGGTTACAGTACAATCTGTGCCCTTGGTTGCTTGGATCTATCCAACAAAACCAACATGCCTTTGGGCTGTTGTGTGCGCATTGTAGATCAGCTAGGAAACAAACATTCACTGAAATCATCTAGATCTATACCGGCTGTTATTCCAAATTTGGGGATGGTCCAATGATGTAACACATACAAATACCAGTAGTTGTAAGGCTTGAGGGAGGTAAAGGGTGCTGTAGGGTAAAAGATGAGGAGGGATGATCCTGATGATCAGGGTTAAATGTGTTGAATTTGGGTTATTAGGCCCATGTGTTGGCACACATATTAATGAGATGAAAAAAGCAACTAACAGTCAAAGAAGTCCAAAATCTGCATAAAGGCACAGAATGGATTAAAAAAATTTTAAAAATATCAAGCACCGGCATAGACCAGCATATGCAAAATACATGATCAACATCAGAATCACCAGTTTATCTAGCTATATATACACACACAGCATAACAAAGTGAGTGATATAAAACCCTCAATGATAAAATCAATTATTTGGGGGCTTGGTATCTATCTGGGGCCTGTCGTTATCATGTAACATTACGGCTTTGGACCATAATGTTATCAATCATTGAGAACATCCCAAAGGGTACAGATCACTAAGTAAATCAAGGTTTGTGGGGCAATTCTATTCTCAGTAGCTGCGCTTAAGGATGATTGAAAAGAATGTGTGGGTGGTAATTGTTTTCACTTAATTATCTACTGACTTAGGAAGCTCAGTAAAATTTAGCAATTTCATCCAAGTTTTAGAGTCTGGGTGGCAAATCAGAAGATGGAATAGATTTCTTGTGATATTTTTAATGCTTAAACATTAGTCAGTGTTCAAGTCAAGTTTACCTTATGTTAGTTATTCATTCTAAACACCTGAAACACTATCAAGTCACTTTTACAATTCATTATTTTATGAATTTCCTTTAGTACCAATAAAATTAATTTTCTGTTTCTAGCCATTATTGTACATAGTGTTCACAATTTCGTACAGACAATTTTTTTAAATTAAATATTTTTTCAATTCACAATTTTTAAACATATTAAGCATTGTGTTAAAACATTTTATTCAACTTCGTAAATTTTCTTAGGCACTGTGTCATGCCGAAATTAGGCACTGTCTCATTGTGAGGGAAGGGGGGGGGGGCAAATCTGCATTTAAATTACTTTTTCACAGACCCAGGTTGANTCTGGGGCCTGTCGTTATCATGTAACATTACGGCTTTGGACCATAATGTTATCAATCATTGAGAACATCCCAAAGGGTACAGATCACTAAGTAAATCAAGGTTTGTGGGGCAATTCTATTCTCAGTAGCTGCGCTTAAGGATGATTGAAAAGAATGTGTGGGTGGTAATTGTTTTCACTTAATTATGTACTGACTGAAGGAAGCTCAGTAAAATTTAGCAATTTCATCCAAGTTTTAGAGTCTGGGTGGCAAATCAGAAGATGAAATAGATTTTCTTGTGATATTTTTAATGCTTTAACATTAGTCAGTGTTTATGTCAAGTTTACCTTATGTTAGTTTTTCATTCTAAACACCTGAAACACTATCCAGTCACTTTTTTTAACTTATTATTTTATGAATTTCCGTTAGGACCAACAAAATTAATTTTCCATTTCTAGCCTTTATTGTGCATATTTTTCATGATTTAATATTTACAATTTTTTTAATTAAGTATTTTTTTCAATTCACAATTTTAAAACAAATTAAGCATTGTTAACATTTTATTCAACTTCGTAAATTTTATTAGGTACTGTGTCATGCCGAAATTAGGCACTGTCTCATTGTGAGGGAAGGAGAGGGGGGTCAAATCTGCATTTAAATTACTTTTTCACAGACCGAAGTTGAGGTTTCTACATTTTCAAGCAGGTGGTGCAGTGTTGAGAGTGAAGACATTTTGCAGAAATGTGTCAGTTCAGACAGAGGAATGCATGGAATGGAAATGCTTATGTTCAGATAATTTCTTTGATTGATTTTCACATATGGCTTGTAGTATTTGGAATTGAAAGCTTTATGCATGATTGAATAGTAAACTGATCATCAGAGGCTGTTCAAGCTGGGTCTGGCTTGACTTCTCTAACCCACCACAATTTCTCATACCAGTCTGATGAGCACAACCCATGCAGTCTGCTGGGATCCATTGAGGATAACAATCTCTTAATTTGTGTAATTGACCAGCAGCACTCAGTGGCTGGGGTAAGCTGAATTTAAGTGGAGGTGATTCTGCATGCCCCACCTGATCAAACTAGCTTCACTTTTTGACAGGTCAATGTGCTAGCAAATAGAGTCATCAGTACCTTTTTCCTTCAGGCAGTTGACAAGAGGCCGGTGCTACTGAGAAATGGAAGTCTAAACCTGGATGGAATTAACCTGACAGCACCAATAAATAATCACTGGAATAAGAGAATCTAGGAAGTAGAGTACAACTGGAGTGGCTCTGAAGTACACAGTGTGGATATATTTAGTTCTTTGGGATAACTGAAGCCAGAGTTCACCTTGAGGAGTGTAAGTGCATGCCACTAGGTATTTGCTACCTCAGTGGTCATTTCTCAGTCCACTGCTCCTATAAAACTACTTGCCACCATGAGGTGGCCAGATGCTTTGTTTCTTCTGCATATCTTCATAACTTGTCTCAGTATGGTGGGAAGTGCACCCACGCCAGACTCTACCCAGAGGTCCTCCCAACACAGGCGTCATCGGAAGCACAAGGCTCAGTCTGAGAGACAGTTACGGATGTTACACCGTTTGATCAATCACATTATGCCAAATGCAAAGAACCTTTTAACTTTAGCTAAAATCAGAAAGACAGAACTTGGAGAAGGGGAATCTTTTGGAAGATACGCCGAACCTGAGGACAATCAGCAATATGATATTCCTAAAATAGGTGAGTTTCATATAAAGAAGAATTTTAGTACATTTACATTAAACCTTTATTGAAAGTAACACAGAATTTTTTTTAGTCTTTGTTGGTATTTAAACAAAGATTTTTCAAAAACATGGCAGCATACATACTTTGAATATTTGTCTTCATTTGTTGAGTTCCACCCACAACAAACCTTTGGCACTTAAAAAGCAGGATCAGAGTTTAAGTAAACCATTGAAGCATGACATGTATTCCCAATTTAATCATCTACTAAAATAAAACATGGTATGATGTGATGATTTTATGGGCGATGGTGATGGTTCTTTCTTTAAGTTGAAGTTTATCAAATTATCTGATGTAATAGAAGTGTACTTAAGACCTGACTGTCTGTTCATGCTACATGAAGTCCAGGATCTAGTTTCATCTAATGAACAACAGGAAATGTGTAACAACCTTACCAGTATACAGATCATGGCAAAAAAGTGATGATACTGATAGACAGATTATAAACTACGCGACTACTGCTATGACAACTGAGAATTACAAAAGAAAATTGATCATTAATTTCGCAAGAGATGAAAGTTGCGAAGTTACAAATTACAAAATCAAAAAATTCATTAATTTTATGAAGATAAGTCATGACCTACAAATTGTTTCGTAATTATTCATGAAATGATGAATACTTGAGTTAATTTCTTTGTGAGCAGCTTTTTAAAAAATATGCTATCAAATTCATAAATACACGTACAGGGTTGTCAAGGTTAAACATTTGAAATGACTTGAAAAACGGGTAAATGACAAAGGTTTTTATACATTTAGAAATGATTCAAGAAAACAGGTAAATAATACAGGTATGATAAAAAATAGACATTAAAAAAAGAGGAAAAATGGTGAATCATACATGTATAAAAATATAGGGAAAGGTTAACACAGTCTGCTATTTTAATCTCTTGAAGAAACAGCACCTAAAAGTCAGTAGACTAAAGATAAGAATGAACTGATCTGTAGAAAACAATGTCGTTACATTGTCACGAAGGACTGATATAACCAACAATGACTGACGTTTTTATCACATATCTTAGTCATGACTTACTTCACACAACAGTAGAGATCTGATTGTAAAGAAAAAAGATATCAGCTAGCCCATGTTGTAATTATGATTATGTGACTATAAATTCTTTTATCACTATATGCATCTTATCTCCTCTTGCACCTGCATTGCACCTCTACCAATAAGGGGAATCCACCGAAAAATTCTTTATTACAATACCAGTTCTGGTTGAGATGAAAATACCACCTTACACTTCCCCATCCTCTAATTATAATAGAACTCGGTACTGATAAAGAGGACTTCCCAGGTTCTTCATAAAAAAGGCCCAATCTACAAGGTCTCTGCACAGTAGATCTGACTTCACAAATGGATCAGTTTGTACAGAAATTTGATTTTTCGTGTGACCAGGCAAAGAAATTGTTTTTGAAAATTAAAACTCTCAATTTTGCAGGGGGATTCCTTAATAATCTGACCGTCTCATGACATCAATTAGTCAATCTACAATCTAAGTTAGCTCTATTGTGAACATGCTTAGAACCCGGACCTCTGTGCCTTATCACATGGGTGATATATAAACCCACAAGCCAACGCATTTGCAATCATCTCTAGGGTAGATCTAGGAAGAAGATAGTCCATGCTACATTGATGTATCTCTTTCCTGTTTGATTATCAATGATGACAACATCTTTTAATTATTTTGTGCATGCAAAGGTCTAGAATTAACAGGTTATATAGTAGAGCAATGTTGCTATTTAAATATCAAGTTACAAGGTAAGAATAAACCTCACACTCGATCTTAAGCCAAAATACAATATATTCTCAGGGAAGAAATATAACTTAAAATTTTAAACATGTTTATTCCTTTTTTCTTACAGTTTATGTCACCTACTTTAAAAGTGATAAATATAATGAACTATACTTCCATTTCTAAACTGTGTCTACAGATCAACTAGCTTGAACCTATCCACTATAAAGAATGAAATGTTTGAATAATAAACCTGTGCATCATACGTGTTAGAGTCAGTCTACTGACCTTCAGAATCACTTAAATATTGTACCTGAGGTCAACAACCCAGAAAAATTGGCAGTATGTTTGTTTGAATGATGGTGTTTCAAAAGTGACGGTGTCCCAAAAGTGACATAGTAGTAATGATGAAATTGCATGATATGGTAGTTAAATTGTTGTTTAAAAGCATGTGTTTTTTTCTACAGGTCTTTTTTTTTTCAAAGCCATGCCACCAAAAATGATGCATGCCAAAAATCAGAGAAATGTTTGGGTTGTAAGCCAAAAAAATTTACTGGTTTTTTAGGAGGGGTGCATTTTCTTTTATTGGATCCACCACAGTAAATACCTACAAATTTGTATTAAGCTGGTAAAAATATTGTTCTCCAGTTTAAAAACTCTCTGTCAACCCACTGTTTTGCACTCAAACAATAGTACCTTGCAATTAAAATGCACAAAATTGTTAAGACGCTTTGTAAAGATATGCATTTTCTTACATGGGGCAAATTTGAGATCACTGCACAGCCAATTAAAGAAATGAGACATTATAATAAGGGGCCCACAGTGCTAATTAGAGAAGAGAATGACAATCCTGCTATCCATATCTGATAGCAAGTACATTCTTTTGTGGGAACAAAGGGTGAGAGAGACGTGATATGGTATAATGATATTTGAAATATAGTGTTTCCTAGAAGACAAAGGAAATTAAATCATTTACATTAGGGTTAGGGAAAATATATAGGTTAATGTCACAAGAGTCTCGCAATCAAAACTGTTCAAACACTTAAATCAGTGAGAAAAAGGTAAAGTAGAATAACCATGAGGCTGATTTGTCAGAAATCCTAAATCATGAATCACATCTCACTTTGCAAATGAAGTGATGAATAATAGAACTCCTCTCATGAACAGTTGGTTAAAAGTAAGTGTTATACTTGTCCATAAGTTATCTGCACTAAAATGACACACACTTGTGGCTTCTGCGCCTTTTGTCCTTCTGTGATTCACATTCCTCACAGACTACCAGCAACGTAGACTTAGATTTCTTGGCAATATGCAGGGTGACCCAGGGTTCATCTCACTTCCCTTTGTTTCAAAAAATGGCTTCAGTAGCATTAGCCCTGAAAGACCCCCACTGTCCTTGTGTAGTGATTGACACAGCCCTGTGACTTGGTGCAAACATATTTTAATTTCTTGTACTTTTAAAGAGAAGGAGGAATACTAGAGTCTGGTATTTAGACAGGATAGGATTGTGAAGGATTTAACCACAGTGCAGTTTTACCCTTTATACACAGATACAGACCTATAATGAGTGATCATTCCATTTCAGTGTGGGTGGTAGCTAGCGCTCGGCTTTCAGAGACATTCTAAAAAGATTGTTAAGAATTATTCTGAAAGATCTCATTGCTCTTTTTCTACATAAGAAATCGATGGCATTTCATTCCTCCTGGCTTGCCCAAATTGTACTTTTTACTTCCATTTTTCAATGTAAAAATATTTTCAATTTTTTTTAATCAGTCATAGAGATACATGCATATGTCATTCTTCACTATCATTTTCTCACGCATTGTTAAAATAAACACTTTAATATATGTACTGCATTGTTTTACCTCTGCACTAGTAAAGCGTTTATATTTATCTTTCTTTTTACCCGCGACAATCATCTCAGACATTCAGAGAAAGTAACTAAAATAACTTTCCTTGGTACTCCACAATCCTACACCAAAAATAAATGTCAGCATGGCTACTGTGAAAAGCAATAAATATTATACAACACTCAAACAAATACAATTTATTTCCAGCATGTCCTGCAGCAGAAGATGGTGTTGAATTGCTTGCCTGTCCAACTCCTGACGCTAATGGGAGATTTAAATGTATAGATGACCATGCCCTGTGTGATAATAAAAACCACTGCCCAAATGGGGAAGATGAAGATAGAACAATATGCATGTTTCATAAAATGGTGAGCAGGGGGTGATTATACTTTGTAATGTGAGAATTACTGTGGAGATATTAAAACCAACGGTTTAAGATACAAAAACACTATAGCATTTCGTGCAAAAAATTAGTTTTTTTTCTAACACAAAAAGATTGAATGAAAATGGCATTATTTTTGCAATATTTTTGTGATATTTATTACTTCTCTTACATGAGCAAGATAAAAATGTTTTGATTTTCAGGTTTAATATTTATGTTAATTTCTTAATGTTTATTCTGTTTATTTCAGACAATGAATTATATCAACAAACTAACAGATACTTTAATAGAAGTGAATTCAAAACTAAGGACACGAAAACGGAAAAAGGATGACGATTCCACAAACTCATAGCATTCTTCACCACAGTGCAGGGCATAGTGGGTGTATTTATTATTTATTAAGGGTTGAAAGTCCATCCTTGACTTTCTCAGTTCAACCAAATCAGCAGCATGTCCCTATTGCTTAGGATTCTCCATTAACACAACTTGACTCACTTGAGAAGGATGATTGACTTGGGTCTCGCTGCAGCCATTAATGGAAATGGGTATTCAGCTGAGAAAGATGAGGTACTTAAGAATGATCTTTTTACACATACAAGTGGCCATGGACAGGTGTAAATCTCTTGCATCTGGGAAGCAAATTGTCTTTCCTGCTTTCAATTTCCCACAGTAAAAATCACTGATTGAAAGGCATCATATGGACATTTTTCAATCATTGCCCAGGTCAATAACCAGGGACTGTCTACAGCATTGTCATGAAGGCCATAATAAGAGTGGAGAACAATGTGAAAGTGAAACATCAACACTGATGTTAAGAAAACTACTGCTAAGATCTAGGTATCTGTTTGGGAGTAGAGCCGGAAGTAAGAGCTCCATTCATGCATTTGTTAAATGTGATAAAAGTTGTGCAATCTTGAAGATGTGACTTCGTAAAAAATTGTTAACTTTCAAGTCACATGCTATATGAAGCATGAGGTGTGTGTGTTCCACCCTATGACATCAGAAGTTTTTACTTTGCTGCACATGGCTGGTTGCTGATTTTGATCTTCAAAGCATAGATCATGTTCCACTAGGAAAAAATGAAAACAATTCTTAACGTCAACAGGTTTCTTAAAGAAACAAGTGACACCATTGGACCCGCCTTATCAACTTCATCTGCCAATACAGGAGAAGACAGCATTTCATTTTTTCCCTTGTATTTACAAATTAAAAGTAGATATCATTGTGGATTCACTTTTTAATTCTCAATCAGAGGTCATAAGATATGTAACATCTGCCAAATGTCTCCTAATAACTCTGTATTAAGTATTTTTGAAGTAACGGTATATACAGTGTATTATAAAGTTATTCATGTACACAAAAAGAGACAAGCAACTGTGGTTTGATTCCATTGATCAAACCCTCACCCAAAATTTCATTCGCTCATCAATAATGTTGTAATATCTGTATATTGTTGTATGTAAAATGTTGAATTATTTTTGTTAAATAAAAGACTGGTGTATTGATATTCCTTCTTCATTAGATTTTTTTCATTAGTTTATTTTAGTAAGCAACATCTTTGAAATAAATATTAAAAATATACGGACACCAAACAGCAAAAACATAGCAACAATATTTACTAAATAATAAATAAATAACAATCAATAAGTTTTGGAAAAATTGTCTGACCCTGCTGATTTTCAAAGGAACCTGTGTTATAAACATTTAAAGTCACTCAGCAAATTTGAAGCAAATCACAAATATAGTGACTGTATATATACATTTCTATATTTAATCTGAACTGGGGTCTAAAATAATACATATTTGTCACATTTTATAATATTAATAAAGTTTTCTTTACCTTTGATTGTTTACCTCATATTAAATGCAGTTATGAAAGGTTGCGTGTAACTTAAAAATCTTTCTGGCAACATACGGGTGCAAAAGTGGCCTTGGGCCCTCAAGTTGCATGACACCACTAAGTCTTTCAACTTGGGTCACAAGTTAGATAGCCCTTAATGCAAATATCACGTTAGTTACTACTATGCTAAATGCATTTAAGGCAACCCAAAAGCTTTTTGCCCCTCCCTACTGATCTTTGTATTTCATGGGGACCTTTAAAATAATTAATATTCCAAGCCTTAAAAAAAAAAGTCATCTATTTTATTTAAGTTAAAAAGTAAACACTCATTGCATATTTAATAATGCAAGCAATTTGAAACTAAGAATGAGGTCTTTTGTATGCACAACTTACATTATTTTGTATTTCTTCCTTTTATTGAATTCCAAGAATTTTATTCCTACTTGGATGCTAAAAACATTTAGTGATATTGATTATTTTTCTGGCCTAGCATTCTTAATTCTTGATCAACTTGAAGGAATCTGTGTTTATCGAAACATTTTTTCTTTTGCCAAGACTCATTGTGCTACAAGAATAGCAACGAACATGCTGTTTTTAGACCTAAATGGAGTAACCCATAATACATGTACTACAGTGTAATGCATTTTTTATAAACATATTTCACTTGGAATGTAGTTTACGCATTTCAGGCACACGAAAAAATTAAAGCACAGCTTTTGAGAACTGTTCAAAGGTAACTTAATGGAAATCCACAATATAAATACTTCATTTTCAGAATATTCACATTCATACTTTTAACACTCAAATTATGAAGATACTACAAATGATTAGTTATGTAATCAAAAATAAAAACATCCCACATAGTGAGCAAACACAAACTACGTAGAGAATTAACGTCAGGGGAGCTCAACCTGAAGTGAATTTAAAGGACGTATATCCTGCTTGTCCTTTCACCTCAGTTCCTTGCCCTCCTCTTTCATGTCTAAGGGAGTTCCTGAGTGGGTTTGCTACGTGTCAGTAATTGGCAAAATATAGCAACTATTTTTACACCAACTGGTCCACTCTTTAACCTACAATACATTTACATGAATTTAATGTTTTTCTTTTTTTCCCTCTCCTCATCACATCAAATTTCTTGTAGTGTTTATGGACTGTTTGACTTAGTAGCAACCTGTGCGTGAATAAAACCAGCCGCACTGACCCTTTTACATGAAAATGGAAAGTATAAATTATTTTGGTTTTGTATTTATTTCACAGGCAGATTCAAGGGCAAAAATTATGAATTCTAACTGTGCACTAGGCCCGTCAGTCTTGCCGACACAGTGCAGTAAAAAAGCCTTCAGCAAAAGGGGAAAACATTTACTGAGCCCCCAAAGACAACAGGAAAACAAGTTAGAACTATAAGAGCAGTTCTTAATTCTCTTCTCGACATCTGGTTTCCGGCAAAACATCAATAAGGTCATGATTTGAGACTACTCTAGCCCACTACCACATTAGTTTTTGCCATATAATGCAGAACTTTGGCAATACAGCAAAATACTGAAGTAACAAAAACAAGTGCAGTGCAAAAACTCCAATAACAAACTGGCTAAAAATTCTCTGACATAACAAGGACACCAGGATTACAGTGACAAAACACAATCCATTTTGATAGATATCTGCACACTGATGATTATGAAATAACTAGCGTAAAATTAATTAGAAAGATAAAGCCAGGACCAAGACAAATGAAGATACTATGGGTTAAATTTCAAATGCAGTTATATCAACCTGGATTTAAGAAAAACTTATCTAAAACCCAGGCATTAACAATTCTGTAGGAATGTACAAGGTTTAGAGTCTCAAATCTACTGGGGCAAACATGTTTCTTTTACACAAATTACTCAAAAGAATATGTTTGTATCATAAGCTTGCATAAAAGCAATGTGATTAATTATATCTATTTCTCCATGTTAAAACACAAGATCAAAGTGAATGAAATAGAACAGCTTCAAACTGAAGGGAATTCACTTATTCTTGTGTCACTTTGTACTAAGGGGTCATCCATTTTTTTTTGCATCATCTACTATCTTCACCCCTAGAGGTGTGCTGGCAAAGGTCATCATTTTTAGTTTTTCACCTTGTACTTACTGCAGAGGGGGGGGGAAAGGTGTACTCTTGGTAGACTTGTGAAAATGCTGATGAAAATGGATGATTGATCCCTAAAGCTACAAGTAATGGAATATGGAGCAGGAGCAACAAAAACTGACTGAATAGCAATTATTTTTCAAGAGACAGTTTGTTCATTTACAAAAGAAACAGCTACAGGAAACAACTTTATTTATAAAAAGTTTTATTTCTCTTAATTTCAAAAGCCAAAAATCACATAACCTGTGGACAAATTTCATTCTTGCTTCACGGCAACTTGAAAAATATGGTCATTCACAATTTATACTAACCATATTGTATATATCTTAAAACATTGTGAAACATGAAAATCAAAAGTGACCATTTACATCTTATTTGTTTATTCTGGTTTTTACTTTATCTTTTATTTTTTGTTTTATATCTTTTTATTTGAAATTATTTGAAACATGACACTGACTATCTAAAAAAAAGCAATGTTTCACATTTCATTAGCATGAAAATAGATACAGCAATACAAATGATAGGCATAAATATTCTATTTCTAACTTTCACTCTGCTTTTAAGATAATCCCTGCAGTGTTTCTATTCCTTTCCAAGTCATCCTGCGGCTAAAGCTTGTCAGAGACTTGAACATGATACAAACTAGACAAGACGGCCGAGTGAAAGCTAGAAATATCCAAACACTCCATGTGAATCCTGATAACAAGTCTGGATCCATTGGTTGTGGAGGCCAAGTGCTGCAGCACCCACCACGGACTTGAGGAAGTTTAAAAATAAAAATGCATTACGCAAACAAACGGCACTTTCTTCTTCAAAAGTTGAGGTGATAAATATCAGATTAATGTACGAGGTTTTTGCTAATAATAGTTTTCTTCAATAGTTAATGATATTAACTTCCCTTTTCCCATAGGCCTTCCTTTCATAATGCAAGAGATGATTTGGAGCTTGTATGTCTTCCTAGAAATTGTCCAAATGAATGGAAGACTATTGCTGTCTATATCAATATGCTGTTTTATTTTTCTGTGTATTTTCAGATCTGGAATAAACAAAATTTTGTTAACTGTTTGCAATGTAGATTATGAATATTCTTTTCAAAAAAGTACAAAGCAGTAAGTTGTTTTAGTCAGAATTAAGAATAACACTTGTGAAATCATCTGACTGTCACAATTACATAACTCAGAGTACTCAAAACTGAAGTACAAAACAAATAGGAAAACAACAGTTAAGAGGAATCATTTTCATCCCTGCTAAACACCTTAACACTCCATTTCAAAAAGAAGATCTTTGGTTGCTTCCTGCTGTTTCTAAGCCAGTCAGTTAAGAAAGAACATTAAAGATAAATGGCCTAGCGTAATCAGTGCAATCTCATAAGTTTAGATAAACAGGAACTAAAGGTCCAGACAACCTGGGGCCGTGATGTTGTACATCTAACATCCTCATTAGAGCAGGAATGTTACAAATCAAAAATTCTGTAGATTTTTCTTGGTACATTTTCACAGTTAAATACCAGTTACCTGAGGCAAGAGACATATATAATTTTTTTTTACAAGAAACAAAAACCAAACCATCTTAACACAATTAAAACAAATTATCAGGCCTATGAAAATACTTACCAGCTAATAGGTTAATTAACTGACATATGCATACAGAAAATTGTATGTAAAAGCAAGATGAGGTTTGGAAAAACTTACATCGTCAATTTCATCATCATCATCACAATCGTCAAACATGATGGTTTCATCATAATCATCTTCTAGTCCAGTATCATTGATTTTAGCTGAAAGCAAAGAAACATTTTATCACTTAAGACAATCAACTGGGTTGCAATTTATTTGTGATGTTGTATATGGTTCAAATAAATAGCACAAGCAGATATATACCATTAAAACAGTGGGTTATCAATGTTACTTTTAAAAAACTATGCACTCAAAGTCTCTGCATGAAGAAGTTGCTTTTCAAAATTATTGAAAGACCACTGAAAGCGGAACTCGGCATTTGGCGCTTTCCGTAGTATAAAATGATTAACCATGGTGGCAGTGACAGTAATGCAGAATGTGGGATAGCCAAGACCACATGTAGAGAAAACTCAAAACTAACATCAAACAGCACAAATTACGTAAGGATACAAATGTCAAGTTGTGTTTGACAAATTGGAGGAAATAACATATACTTCAGTAATACTAAGAGCAAATTAAAGCACCCAAGACAAACTGAATCAAACACTGCCCACATTACTAAAGAAAACCAACGTATCTTCCCCCCCCCCCCCACCCCTCAACAGAAATCAATCATTTTCCAGTTTGAGCATTTCCTGTAGTGTCTGTATAATTCATCCAAATTATATAGATATTTTTCAGTATTTTTTAAAATAAAATAAGAATTCCCCGTATGTTTTTAGGTACTTTATTTTCTATACTACACAGACATAATATTTAAAGATAAATATTTATTTGTTATGGTTGCGTGTGTCAATATATCCATGTTCTTAGCTAGGGGAAAGCTTATAAATACCTGTTTCTGGTAGTTCTCCATATGCTTTCAAGTTTCTGGCCTCGTCTGGTGTGTATTTTAGAATTACATCTGCTTTTCCATCTTGGTAATCTCGAAGTCCAAGAAGAATAATATCACCACCATTGATCCACACCTATGAGAAAATTTCAAATATCTTTATTATTTGCATAAACACACTAGATAAATGTTGTCAAATCAATCTAAAGCTTTGTAAACTGATATTATGGTGAAAATATTGTAAAATTCCACAAAAAAATAAACAAGCTAAAATATTGGCAGACTCGGGGGTGTTTGGGTGGTGGTAGTGGCAAGGGTTAACACCCCTCCCCCACCCCCTTTTGCTATTTTACAAAACAATCTCTTTCCTCAAGCGGGAAAAATTGACAAATCACACAGACAATTTCAAATACTACATCAAATCTTGTAAATTTTGCCAAATTCAATACATACAAAGTAAGCCACTACCATTTTACGCAAATGAACAAACAAATAGATAAATAACAAAATAAAGTACCTTTTTCCTCAGTTTTCCACGAATATGGCAAAGTCTTTTTACACCATCAAAGCACAAGGCTTCTAACCTTCCATTCCCAAGCATCTTTGTGACTTGGGCATATTCTGAAAATGAAATGTGTTAGGTGAGCACTAAGCACCTTCAACACAATCAGTCTCAACAGACTCCAACAGAATCTTACGAACACATTTGTGAAAACATTTTATTAGGGTTTCTAAAATTAAATATAATTCATTTTTTATTAATTCAATAATTCTTCTTCAAATAAAGGATACATTATTCTGTGTCCAGCTTTTAATGAAAAAGTTTTTAATCAGGCATCTGTATCAGATGTTCAATCCTTCGAACAAATCATGCATGACCAAACAGCTCTCCTTTTTCCCCGGTTTTAATAAGCTATTAAATAAACTTTACTTTTGTTGCACTGAATTTGGTATCAAAATTTCAATGCATTTATGCAGTTAACAACTGGAAATTGAACTGTGAGACAAGTCTTAAAAATTGTCAAATAAACCTGACAGAACTATGAAGCACAGAGCATGGACAACAGCAGAGTGTATTTAACACAAACAAATATGATACTTATTTCACTGAAATTGAGACACCAATGCAGTGTAAGGGAATGGCACAATGCTATTAATCTGACAAACTATTTTTATACATTTTGAGTCAAAACATTTATGAGAACAAATAGGACCATGTCTTGTTAATCATGGCTATAACTCTGACATAACAAGAATCTAAAATATTAAGAATCTATTTTCTGAAAGTTTGACTTTTAAATCACCCTAAATTGCTAAAATATTATTATTTACCATTCAGCAACATGTAATTATCAGAACTCCTTATTACCTTGTCCATCTTCCTTGAACACCAACTCCCTTTTTTCATTTTCATTCTCATTTTTTCCTCTCCTCCTGTTTTTACCTCCCTTTCCTAAGAAATAAGAAAAGAAAGATCGCCATGATGTTTAATACTGATATGGGAAGAAACGGAGACTGCTTACCTTTTACTCATTATTATACCTCTTGTTGAATTGCTGACTTATTTGCCGGTTACTATATTAAAAAAATATTCTTTGTGTTTTGCACAAGGATACTATTGGTCACATGAACGGGCACTATTAGTTGACCCGAGATCAAAGTGCATTCTAACCCTTTTGCTAGGTAATTTATAACAGACCATTTTGAATGATTTCCTTTGGACATGTGACTCTGCTTCGACGTAAGTCGTCTTGCATGCACGCCTGGTTTGCCACTAAATTTATCTTTTTTTTTTCACCAATTTTTTCATCAAATTAAACCAAATAAAAGAATTCTGGTTCAATGATTATTATTTGTAAAGATATTTGAGACTCAAAGAGCCACAGCTCTGAAGAACTTGATAGATATTAATTCATTCCAGTTTTTTTTAATTTGGTCTAACACAATCTGGTGCCCATATTCCAATAATACAATGATAAAAAATTCTTTGAAGGTTCTTATAAAATCACCATACAGAGATCTTTAAGAAAGAAATAAGTTATGATAATAATGCATCTATGACAATTTATTAAAAACATGCAATATCCTATCCAAGCTTTCGATCCCTAGTCCTTTTTCAGGGATTTGGAAAGAAATGGTAAATAACAAGCTCCTAGGATATGTGACGTCAGTTATGTGTTAAGGGCGGGTAATAAAATTTATTTATTATTATTTATTTATCTATTTTATTTATTTATTTATTTTTTGTTAGATGATCTTTACAAAGATCAGCAAGGCATGTCTTACCCATGGCGAGTGGTGTATGGCATCATACTTATGCAAGATGTGACATAGTTTAGATCAATATACCACACTGTTGACTAACTTCCCTTTGCTTAATTATATATAAAAAACTTTAAATAATTGAAATATATCAGTGGTACAAATTAAATATGCTTATTGTGTAGTAAATATTAAAGACAATGAAATTTAAAGTGTCTACTTATTTTTACATTAGGTGTCAGTTATTGTGTGAGATAGCCCATCTTTCAGTGAAAGTAGGTATATCACAATCCGCTAGGGGCGCTACAGTCGTAACTCTCCAGGGGCAGTGAAGTGTAAAACTGAAGTCGGCCTGCTGACAGTTCACCTATGGAACCCCTTTTTTAAATCTCTCTTTTAGCGCCGCGTAAAAAAACTAATACAAGGCATAAACTAAATAAGCTGTAAATCAATGAGTAAAATCCGGTCACGTTGCAGTCTTTGAGAAGTTTCAGTTCAGGGTGTTTGAAGTTTTGCCTCGACAAAATGCTCAAAAATGTCAGGGAAGTACTGGTTTCCGCATTTTGAAATTTATAGCCAATTAAGTTTGTGAAATTTGCAATATTATGTAGAAAAATCATGAAAACTAAACCATGCGAAGTATAGTTTATTTGATGCGCAATATTTATAGTACATGATCTACACGGAATCCATCCCAGCCATGTGCTTGTGCGGTCGCCAATTTGGGTTTGTTTCCGGGTCATTAGATTAACATACAGCCATAATTGCCCTAATTGGTCACAAGCAATTTGAGCACAGCTACAGTTGAGTGATCACCGCTGGTCAGTAGTTACAGGTTTTTAGCTGAAGAGTGTGGACACTTTTGGTGGATTTTTGCAGTTAAAAAACTTCAATATCTTTGTTGCTTTTAGGAATATTAAAAAAATTCCAAATTATTTCATCCGGTTTTTGCATTACCTTTCAGATGATATAAGTATTATAATTTTCTGATCAGTTTGAAAATTTTTCTGATATACCTAGTGAAAGTAAACCTTGTGCCAAAGAAAAATTCAACAAAATGAGAGTGAGAAACAATATAAAAATTCGACCTTTTCCACAAAGTGTTGAACATAAACAATTAATCAAGCTATCTGTTAAAGATTTGGGGGTATAGAATTTAAATAGTAAACATAACTGGTTATATATAGATCTATATATATGTATTAGAAGAATATAAAACACAAAAGAAACCATCTCTTGCAATTTCCAACTGATTTAAATTACCTTTTTATCAGTTTGATAACATTAACGGAAAGTAAACTTCAAAGTAACCAAACCCCTGCACTTTCATCATCACGCTGTCGTTGAACATTCTTGGTCTAGCAGGTTAATAAAATTTACATTGCACAACGTAATTTCCACAACAAAATAATATCGGGTCATTCAATGAAAAAGTAAGTTCGTTTCACCAACATCATGTAAATTATTAAAGGAAATAAGCGACCCCTCAACATATGACAGTCTTACCTTTATTCTTTGGCATGATCTAAAATTGAAAACGAACTTCTTCAAATGAAATATTCAACCAAATACGTCAACAGAATGGTAAAATTCTCTGTCAGTCCATATGTGCTCTAGTCTCTAACACGCATGCGACAACATGATAGAGAATTGTGGGAAGACTTCCGTCTTATCTGGTGCATTTGATCATGTTTAAATATTGGATAAAAACAAAAAAACATCAGAAATTGGAGTATCTTATATAAGATTCTTAAAAAAACTCGTATAACTCTATGCATGTTTTCTGTTGCACAAAATAAGGAATTTTACTGTCAAACCAAATAAATTATACCAAGCACAACTTGGCGCCGAGGGCCTGGAATGTGTTAGATGAGATTAAACAGGGTCAGGTCAAACAAAATGGGTAAATATGATGATTAAATATTTCATATTGATGACTTTTTTTCGCAACATTGATCATGGTGAGGCAACGAGGCCATGACATTATCAGAGGAAAGGTACCCTTTGTACGCACGAACGGTTAACTATTATGAAGAAGTTCAGAAATGCTAAACAAGGTGTTCAAACGGCCCTAGTAGGTGTGGGTTGGCAGGATTACATGTAGGTCGCAGTGAATCATACAGGAATCAGGATATTTAGCGGTGATTTTTCTGACCAAGCCACCGATGATTTATTGGGTCACTCATCATTGCAACTAAAGGAAGAAAAGGTAAGATACCTTAGGTTTGTCAGTTTTTTGGTAGATTACACGAGTTTTTCATATTTAAAGAGGAACGAATTTTATAACAGAACTTCCTTGTTGGTATCCAATGAAAGGTCTTTGTCGAAAGTCCGTTGTTGAGCTTAGTTTTCCAGTAACGTATCCATTTACATACTGTTTTGAAGGAGACATAGGTGTGATTTTGTGATATACCTGGTTTGATATCCATGTAAGCCACTATCTTACTGTTTATATGGTCAGATTTTTTCAAATGACTTAATATGAACATTTATACAGTAGATGTTGAAAAATATGAACATTTGTAGATGTTGAAATCTACAAAGTACAGTGTCCTTGTGTGGTATAGTATACAGGGGTAGAGTGCAACTCAGATTAGGAACTGGAAGCCCAGTCCATATTTTAAATTGATTCCCAAACAGTTCCATTTGTAAAATGATATGTGATTTGGACCTTGAGGTCGATATTTGGGATTGAAATCGTGGCTTGCATAAAAGTCACATGTAATATAACAAGCCATTGGTGATGGTTAGATCACTTAGGGAGAGTTCAGATAAACCCATCTCCTCCACCAGCAAGGGGGTAATTAGGGGTGGATTGAAGCTGTCTTCTGAGTCTTCCGGAAGACTGCGGAAGACTGTCAGATTTTCAAGTTTACATCGACGGGTATCTAATTTTTTTCTCTTGGAAAACGGTCAAAAATGAAGGATGGATCAACAAAAATAATTTGGAAGACTGTCAGAAAACATCTCTGGATCTGCCCCTGCTATCGTACCTGTTCCATTTTGGAAGCTCTTTCACTCTTGAAAAGAGGCAATGTCTGACAATTAAGCTGATAACACTGAATGCACTATAGTTTCATCATGGATGGAGTTTCACAGCCCATTTCCTTATTCATATACTAATAGGTATAGAAATCTTTGTATCATTGTAGCTGTGACAGTGACCTCACCGGTTGACTGACACGTAATGTGTAAATGGCAAGGCTGTATATTATGAGGTATATTTTCTATTTCATACTTTTCTCTGTTATGAATGGTGTCAGTTTTGATAAAATCAGTGATTAAAGGAGATTCTCTGTTTGTTGATGTTTAGTATATAAAAATGTGCATTGTAACATAACGGGCACAGATTTTTTTATAACACTTCAGACTGAATTAGGGTTCAATTAAGTATACTGGAAAGGCTGACAATGGTGGTGTCATTCTTTCGTCATGGTTGTCAACTCTATGCATTTATGCATATTCTACACATATTTTGTATTGTTTCCCTTTGTTATCACCTGGGTGTTATACTATTGTTAATAATATGTGCATGATCTGTGTAAGTAGAACGCTATACAAAAGAACTGAGGTAACCTTGATTTGGCAGAATAAGAGATGCACAGTACACAATGAATATGATTGCTGATGCACAAATATATATAATACAACCTGTAAATTACCCTTGCAAGTTGATTAAATCCACCATACAGTAGTCTCCTCACTGGTTATTGAACCACACTTAATTGAAGGGATTCATGCTTATTTTTTTTTCAGAAAATTATGAAAGAGCTCGGGGGGTGACAAGTTTACAACAGTTTTTAACAAAGTTGTCTAAAAAGTTAAAACATAAAATGCATTCCAAAATGTCTGTTTCCACTGTATTTCATATTGTGGACTTAATTTTTTTTCAAATATTCTTTTTTTATTTTGTTTAAAATATAATAATTTTTTTAAGAGATAGCCTCATAGATTATTTGTGGTTATTCAAACATTTCCATTTGTTACAACACAAACTGCAGGGGCGGATCCAGAGCTATTTTCTGACAGTCTTCCAAATTATCTTTGTTGATCCATCCTTGAATTTTGACCGTCTTCCAACAGAAAAAAATAGATACCTGTCAACGTAAACTTGAAAATCTGACCGTCTTCCGGAAGACCCAGAAGACGGCCTAAATCCGCCCCTGAACTGTATTTGATAAATAACAAAACTTAAATTTCTAAATTGCTTTGCTTGTGTCAAGTTTTTTTCTGTTAAAATTGCTTTGCTTGTGTCAAGTTTTTTTCTGTTACTAGTGTGCATACAAACAAGGAATCGCATGTTGTATGCTGCTAAATGAAACATGTTCACGTGATGTAGTATGATGTGCAGCTTACAAAAGCAATGGGATATCATATCATATCATACTAAACAGTACACTTATTTAACACTTACTTATCTGTAAAAGAAAGTACACTTGTCACATTTGCAGTCTGCCTATTTATTTTCACTGATCATGAATTTTTCTTCTGAAGTCACGAAAAGCATGCTATTAATTTGAGCTTTTCTTCATTCAGTCATGACTTTGTTATTTTTATCTCATGCTTAAATCTAAGACCCCATTCACATAGACACCATCGGACTACGTAGATCGATCCAACTCTGCATGGACTCTTGCTGGTTGCAGTTAGCTTAACTGAATAACACACCTCCTAGAACACAGAAAAGCTGGTGATTTAAAGAGTACATTGAAAACAAGAGGAGGCATATCATTCTGTTAAGCTGTTTGCACTCAGCGAGAGTCCCAGCACAGTTGGATCGATTTACATAGGTTGATGGTGTTTATGGGAATGGGGTCAAACTATACTTTATCCTGGATAATCTTACACAGCTCATAAATGCAAGTTTAACATTTTTTGTTTAACTGTACAGCTTTATACCAAACCATCATCTTTGCTCTCAATTGTTTTTTGCAGTTTGGCACACTCATTTATCCATATCTGGTGAAAAAATGCATAAAATTTAGACAATTTCCCATTGTTAAGTGGGATGTAAAGACATGCAAATACCACAGAGAAATGTTTTGCATGTGCTAGATTGCAGCCAAAGAATCATTACCACCTTTCATTATGTAAGCATGTATGCATTTGGACTTATGAACTTTCCTTTTTTTCCAGCCCATTGGAATATTACATTTTGTACCAGACAGAAAGGGAATTCAGAAAAAAAAAAGAAATTTGAATCTCTACAGACGCTTTATGAAGCATAAACAATTATTTAAAGAAAATAGTGAATATTGGTTACTAGTTCACATTTGACAAATACAGATGAATTCTCCAACAGTGTTTTGGAAGACTATGTGATTGACTGTTACATGGATGGAAGTGCCAATAGAGCCAGCCTTAGCCCAGGTGTGGTGTCCAGGGACTCTTGTTATGATTCTGAGGGGTCTCCTCCTGGAAGCAGGCGGGGGAGCGTGGAGGGGGTCACCCCCAGTAGCAAAGGAAATAGAACTGTCGCAGCGGATTTCCCCAGCACAGGGAAAGATGTTGCCAGATGTGGGGACCACAGGTGGTCATCAGATTTGCCCGAGTTGCAACACAGAGAGGCACCTGTCATGGATTTTGACTCCTCATCCACTCTCTTAACCAAGCCTGCAGGAGCTGCTGGTGACAATGTACAGGCACCGAACAGGACACCCCCTTCTAGTCAAGACTATATGGGGAGACTGGAGTATGTGATAAAACTGGGTTACACTGAGGACAAGATGAGGACTGTGTTGAGCAGAGTTGGAAATGATGTAAGTAACGATGTTCTCCTGTCAGAACTGATAAAACTAGGATCATGTCAGGGTGTTCCAAAGGATGAGGAGGAAGAAGAAGAAGACTTGGATAGTTACCAGGAGTCTGACAGGTTGGACAGTGGACACTTACCTAGTAAAGATGACCCCAATGGAGGTTTGCCGCCTGGGCTTCTTAATGATCCAGACAACACTTCCAACCTTAGGCCCATTGTGGTGGATGGCAGCAATGTTGCTATGAGGTAATTATTTACCATGCTTAATTTTCTTTGGTCAATGGTGACATTCATTTTTTCTATTTTTTATTTAATATATTTATTATTGATGATTTTATTTGTTTATTTGTTTATTTTGAGGTTTGGAGAAACCAGGTTTTGCCGTTACTGCAACATCTTTCTAATCTCAATTAAAAGCCTGTATGGTTTTAAAAGTCAATAACTACCCTATTCACTGACAGGATTAGCCTGGTGCATTTTTTCTCCCTTTCCAACTTTTCTTACAATCACATTTGTCACAGTTGATAACAACCATTTGTTACACAGTTAACAAGTTTTTGAAAATTGAGAACTCTTATTTAGCACTTTAAAATAATTATCTCATAAAGGGAGGTTTCTTTGATATTCCTTATAGTCAATATTTGATCAAGGTTTGAAAGATTTTTGCTGACAAATGATTTATGCTCTGGGCCACATAAAAGGTCACAGACCAGGAAAAGTCCTTGATATATGTGTGCACAATGATATAGAAATGGATACTAGTTCAAGCGTATGCACTATGAGTCCATTTGCACCTTAGTTTGAAACGTATTTAATATAGGAAAGGAGATGGCCTTCTAGTAATACATTACTGTTTTGCCTTTATTGCCAGGCTCACC